TCTGGAGTTGTTTCTGGATCTTCTTATCTATCCCACTGATCCTCAGGTCTGTTCCTTTGCCAGGACCATGGTGATTTTATCACAGTAGCTTTGTAGTATAGTTTCAAGTTGGGGATTGTGATACCCCCAGCCATGTTAGAGTTTATTATTTTATAAGTAGTTACTTCCTAAAGTCCAGATGTTTGCTCAGAAAGTTGTGATTGAATTATATTGAGTCAAAAGAATAGTTTTCCCCCAGAGGGCAGGTAAAGAAGGATATTCCTGTAACTGCATTCATTTACTCACAGAAGGACAAGACTCTTATACTTACGTGACTACAGAATAGGAAAGCAGAATAATATCTTCAGTTACAGTGAGAGTGAGAGCTAGTTTAACTGCCAGGCCTTGAAGATTGTATACGTCCTTTTTTTTTAACTTATTAGATCAGTGAGTTAGTAGTAAACATATTCTGTTATAAAAGAAGTTCTCCTCAAACGCACAAGACATTGCTTTAGTAATGTCTTAATTACTTTTTTCTTGTTTCTGGGACAAAATACCTGACACACAAAGGTAAAGGAGGAAAGTTTTATTTAGCTTACAGTTAGTTGAGGTCATGATTGGCTGGCTGCAGGGCAGCATGGCATGGCACAGGGGTACAAAGTTTTTTAAAAAATTAGATTGGACATGGTGGCACACGCCTGTGATTCTAGCACTTGGGAGGCTGAGGCAGGAAGATCACTGCAAGTTCGAGGCCAGCATGTGCTACATAGACCTTGTCTCAAACCCTGACGCCCCCCAAAAGAAATTACTTAGTGATGGAAATCAGTAAGAAAAAGGACATGATAAGATTATTAGCTCATATTTTATATTTTATTAGACCATAACAAAAGTAGATAGAGAAATTAAATACAGAATACTTTGTAATTTAAAAAAAAGCAGATCAATAAATAGGAAAAATAGAAAATTAAATTTTAAAAAAACATTGAAATAAAAAAATCAATTTTTAATTGAAAAAATTAACCTGGCTTACTGTACTTTATACTTATTTGAGAATTGATTTCTCACTTTGTTTTTCCTCATTATAACTAAAAAAACAACATTGATAAATCTGGTTACTGGCCCTAACTAGTTTCAAGACATTTTCTCTATTTGGCCTTTAATAACTATCTTTTATCATTTGAGATAAAAAACAATTCTGTAAGTTTAATGCAGTTAAATTTTCTTGATTTTTACTTAAGTTCCAGGAAACAATTTGTGGCAACATTCAGAATTGGGACCCCAAAAATTTCCCTGAGGGGTGATGGTGAAGGGTCTGCAGTGTCTCCTTTCTTGCTCTGTGGTCCTCTGTCAGCAGTCCAGCAGGTCTGTGCCTCGAAGTACTGATCTGCATCTAGACAGTTTCTTGGCCCTTGTTCACAGGCTGCAGGCAAGAAGCCCTGGGTGCTGGGCAGCGCACAGGAAAGGCCCGAGGCCAAGCCTAGGGAGAAGGTCAGTCAGTGTACCTGGGAGGCCAGGGGCCTGAACTACCAATAGGTGAACTGAGATCCTGTGCAGGAAGGAGACAGAGGAAGTTGAAGGCTTCAGGAAGGGAGCAAATAGAGGCTAAGTACAATTCAGACTACAGTCTCCGCGAATCATCTGGAATGGGGTCATCCAGGTACTGCCTTTACTCTGTACACTATTTTCACACCTTCCCCCTCAGGGATGGGCAAAATACCTGCAACAGGAAGAACTGGCTTTGAAGTCTACTTCTGAATTTGACTGTTGTCTCCCTCTTCTTCTCTCCCTCTCTTGTCCTGCCCCCTCTTTCATACCCCTCCACCTTCTCTGTTTCTCTGAAGCCTGGCTTTCTCAACCTTCTTTACTCTGCCATCTTGCTAGGCCGGTGAAGGGAGGAGGTGAAGCAACAGTCTGTCTTGTCCCCACTAATGCGATTTCAACTTTGTGTCTTTTGAGATCTTGACAGAGAGGGCCAACTGGACCAGTAGCTCAAAAGTGCCCAGTCCTCCACCACGCCACCACCCTGGCTCATATTATGGGAAACTACAGTTGACTTTGCTTAAATTGTGTGTGGTTCATACTTATGATGAGTTCCACAGTGCCAAGGCACTTTCCATTCCTTCCAAATTCCCCTCAGTCTGTTCTTCCCACTGAGCCTGGTCATTTCCTGCAACGTTCAGTGGGTTTGCTGTCTAGACCCCTGGGCCTTCTTTCCCAGGAGAAGGCATATATTCCTCTTACGGTCCCACAGTTGATCCAGCCCTCTGAGTTACATCTGTGTATTCAAACCAGTGTTCACATTTTTTATTTGCATTAAAGCTAAAGAATTTATATTTTCACAAACAACCAGAATTTTTCTACTCTATCTGTTTCATGGGTTGTGTTACAGTATTTGTTTATTTGTTGCTAATTTTAACATGCTGTAACAACATTCCTTAAAGCTGACAATGCTGTATCGAATCCTTCTATTAAAATAAGACATTTACTCTACCTGCTTGTGTAAACGGAAATATGGATGTATAATTACGAAGGTGGTAATATTACTTTCAAATACATATACAACTGGGGAAGAAAGTATACCTACAAATTAAAACATTGCTAGAATTTAAATCTTAGGTGGGAAAAATTACAGGGACTATATAGTTATACAAAACAATTTTTTCTTAGTTTAAGTGGTTACATTAAATCTTTAGTCAGTTTTAGAGTAGATGACATGTTTATTTAAAATATTTATATTTCTAACAGGCTCTTATTTCATACAAAAGAAAAGCATAAGGAACTGGTTTCATTAAATGACAACATGTATGCATCATATGGCAAACATGAATCAAACAACTTTTTTTGCATATAAGAGAGATTTAACACTATGGATTATTTTGTGTTTTGTTGTGTTTGTTTTCATATATGTACTTATATTTGCTATGTTATATTTACTATTTAACTCATTTTGAGAATGCAGATGTCCTAATTCCATTCTATGGAAGTATTTCCAGAGCGTGAAGGGAATCCGTCCCTCACTTCCTTCTTCCTTTTTCCCTCTCTGCCTCTCTTCTTTCCTTCCTTTCCTTCATCCTTTCCT